CCAACTGAATTCAGAAAGGTGTGCCGTAACTTGAGTTCCTATAGCATCTCAGTGTGTCTTAGTGCATGTATAGAGCTTCAGAGAAACACTTAACTAAGACAGACTTACCACACAGCATGACTGCGCCCTAAAGAAAGCAAATGTATTTAAATATTTTTTTAAATTAATATTCACGCCTCACCCTGATAATCATGGTAATTGAGGGATTTATTTTTTAATTAAATTGCAGATTACATGTGCAGGCTCAACTTAGTGTAATATTTTTTGCTCATAAACACTCAAAATAAAACAGTGATTCCATACTCTTGTATGGAGACCTCTTTTAATTGGCTTATACTTCATGCTCTTTGGGTTTTTTTTAATTTCATAAAGATTTTTTTTAAAAAAAATTTCTATATTTTACCCTTTCTCAGTTTTTTTCCTATTTAAGATCACTTTTTCTTGCTCCTTTTCGCATCTCCCCTTTTGTTTTTTCCCTCATTTCCCTGTTGCTCATGCATTCTTCCATTTTAGAGGTGGTCTTCCTTGTTTCCCTCTGTCTTAGGTGTTGAGGAACCCATGTACCCTCCCTCCCCCCCCCCCCCCCCCCCCGTCCTGGGGGTTTTCCCCCCTTCTCACTGGTGCTGTGTGTTTACCCTCCTTGTCACAGTGCAGAACCATCTTGGTCTCAAATTCTTGACGCGGTAATGTTAGGAGGTGACCACAGCTGCAAGCGCTGCACCGCTGCCAGTGGTGATCTCCAATTTTTTTAAATTTTATTTTATTACATATTTTATTTATTTATTTGGCAGATGTCCTTCTTCTTGTGTTTTCCCATACCATGACTGCCTTTTTCCTCCTTTGTAGTCTGGTGACAGAGGTATGAAAACACGTTCTGGGCTGCTCATTATCTGGCACCGTTGCATTTCCCACTCTGTTTAACTCCTGGAGCTGCAGAGCTCTTGTGCTGCCCCTTGCCTAGAAGCAGAAGCAATGCTGAGGTCCAGTGAGAAAAAATAAGGAGCTAGCAATAAGGAAAAGGCTTTACAAAAGGGAGACAAGCCTGCATTGCCAGGACATGGGAAGGAACCACAGATCTCACCTTCATATTGGCATGCTATCTTTTCTTATTTGGGACACTGTTTGCGGAGGGGATGCCTTTAGTAGCAGGAGGAGGAAAGGTGATTCCCCTGAGGGACCAGAAAGGCAGGTGCATGCCTGCAAGCATTTGGTATCACCTATCATTCCTCCCAACAGCAGCATTTAAATTTCTGCTCATGGGTGACCTGATTCCTTCTGCAGGCTCAGTCTCTCTCATGTTGCTGCTTTGCTGTGTTTTTGGGTGCGGTTTGCTTTGAAGTTTGAGGCAAAAATGAAAAGCTGTATGGCAATCGCTCTTAACTAGTCAGCGTTCTGTGGTGTGCATTTAATGTAAATCTGTATGGCTTGCATGAAACTGGAGTTGTGCTTGGAGCATCTGAAATACTTTACTGTTTCCTCATGCGTTTATTCACCCCCCCGCCCCCAATGCTAAGAAGTAGTAGTAACATACAAAAAATGAATTGTATTTGAATTCTGTGGTTAACACTTCAGGCTTTATTTTTGTTATGATTTGACACGTGTAATTGTATGATGCTAATTCCAGCTTGAGATGCTCAACGATTTGGATTGATCAAGCTCTATGTTAAAAACATCTAGTTGATTTTTGTGCCGTTATTCGTGTTAGTCTGTTCAGAACCGTACTCTTTTAATGGTTAGAAACCTTATATGGAAGCAGCATATGTATTTGATCTGTTTGTATTTGATCTGTTTGACTACATTTTCTTGTGCCCCATTGCTCTTGGACTGGATAGCTCTTCTCTCCCCTTTGGTGTTACTCCCCTTATGCTCATAGATGGCACCAGTATTGCCTCTTGTGCTTCATTTTATCAGCATAACCAAGCCAAGGTCTCCTGTTCTCTTCTCATTATATAGATTCCTTTTTGTGTGTGTGTGTGTGTTTTTTTTTCTTCTTCCTCATCTTCCTCTTTCCCTGCAACTATGCTGATTTGAATCTTTCCTAAATTTAAGCGGCCTGTCCTCAATTAAGTGGCCCTGGCAGAAGGAGTACACAGAAATGTATGTGGAAACCCATTTTTGTCAAACACACTGTGTGGGTGACTTATAGCCACTAGGAGAGAGACCTGGTCTATTCTGCTTTTCCATACTTGAATTGTTGGATTAGGATTGCAGTTATATGCTTTGAAGTTGAACCAGTAACAGTCATTAGCCTTATTAAAGTACAGTTATATTCCAAAAAATAACTTGCTAAAAGGAATAGCATGATGGTTTCTATATTTGAGCACATTAATCACCAAACACGGTTCCTGTTCGCATTTCCAATGATAAATCTAATTGCAAGGTTGACAGCTTGTCATTTTTTTCCAGTTATTTCTGTGGTGCTATTTAAAACTCATTTTCAGGTTCATTATTCTGTTAGAGTTTAAGATGGTTGCTAGCTATACTGAGACTTCTAGCTTAGGTGATTTATGGTAATGATTAGGGATGGTCAAGAGTAACTCCACAAGGGCAATATTTAGAAGTGCTGATTTGTTGAAACTATAACTTTTGTATCAATGTACAAATTTGAGGCTTTGGGGTGAGCTTTCTTGGTGCACTGGGATGGGTTCCAGGCCCAAATTGGAGAAGATTTTGCAGCTGGGACAGCCACCTAGAAGGTGGCAGGCGTCATCAAGCTGCTGGCTCAGGAACTGGAGAGAAGAGAAATCTGAACCCTACTTTATCCTGTGCTCCAGTGAGTGCCATGACTAGCTGTGTTCTGCTTCCCATTTTATTTCTCCCTTCTTCCAACCTGCCACAGCATTTCTGAAGGCCTTGACTGATGTCAGTGATGTCTTTCTCATGCGCTGTGTCAAATATGTTATTTATCAGAAGGTTGGTATTTGATAGATTTAATTGCTACAGCACCTTCAAAGTTGATTCTCTTGTACACCATTTGGTACAGCAGAGTAACTACTGATGAACAAGTGCTCTGTTTTATTTTGATTATGTTTAGGGTGTAGGCATCCCTTTTTCTTACTCTCCGACTCTTCTTCCTCGTTTATCTGCATAACGGGATCACTGTCTGCAGCTCAGTTGATGTGACCCATCAATTTGGGAGTTTCCTCTGATTTTGGTGATGGATCAGGCCAATCGGAGTGTGCTGCTGTGGTTGGTACTGGTGTTACTTGTGTTTACTGCCTTGCACCCACTCATTTCTTCTGGTCTGCTCTGCAGCTTTGTTCCTTTGTTTTACCTGATGGTTTCTGGAACTCCTCAGACTCCTGAACTCAGACTGTATGGATAGTTTTTTTAGCAACATTACCTCTTGCCCAACCAAGTGCTGTGCAGTTCCCCTGCTAGCAGTGGGACTGCAACATGGGCCTTCCACCGTCCTCCAGATCTTTGGCTTACAATTTAAACTACGCATTTGCAGTCCTTGAGGCTTTGAAGTACTAACGTGACACTTGAATACTAATCGGATAAATGTCACATCCAGCCAGCTTTCCCTGTAGGTGCATTGTACGGAGAGGACAAGCAAAGGCCCCTGCCTGGGTTGCCCCTGCAGCAGGACGCTGGAAGGTGGCTGCTTGTGCTGGCAGCCCCCCACATATAGCGGGAGCTAACGTGTCACCAGCTGCGGCGAGGTTGGCGGCACGGTGCCCTTCGCTTGTCCCACGCAAGCCCGCTCAACAGCCCCCTCCATGCATTGGGTTTCAGGGTGAAACACCTGCTTTCCAGACACGCTTGGAGTCTCGGGGACATGGTGAAACCAAGCCCTCACCCTGCATGGGAAATACCTTCTGCAGGTATTTTTCTTGAATGAAAGCATGTTTACAGACTGATAAGAAATACTAGAATCTTAGGGACCTTCAAAACAGAAGGTTATGGGGATATTTTTTTTAACAAGCTTGTGTTAGAAGCAGCTGGGGTTTTTTTGGTAGACTTTTTTTTTTTTTTAATTTTAAATGATTGAACTATTTTATCGCCCCGAGAAGTGTAATCCCCCCCCCCCCCAAAAAAAAAAAAAAAGATTTAAAGCATGTTGTGTCACACTGCGATCATACTGCTCAACTCAACCATAATACTTTAACTGCAAAAGCTTTCATGGCTGTATTAACTTATGAATTAAGTAACGTTGTGTACCTTTTTCTGTGGCTTTCAACCAAACTGAAAAGTGCGTGAGAGGGCAAATTCTTTTGTTGTTGATAGCATTCCACATTAACGAGAAGGAATTTCTTGCCTATTGTTTATGAAGTGGAAAGAGATCGCAAGTTGCATAATCTTTCTTTATGGATTTAAAAAAAAAAATTTTTTTTTTTTTAACCTTACTTCTGCTAGGCAGTTGATCCGCAGCAGGTGCAGCGCATGGGGTGCTGTAAGACACCGCACCTATATTTTGTTATATATCTGGACGGGGGGAGGAGGAAGGGGAGGAACGCGAAGGAGAGAAAACCCCATAACTAAGGAAGCAGCAAAGCTGAATACAGTTTGGTTTCTCTCTCCCCCTCTCGCCTGCTCAGCAACCAAGCCCAGATTCCAGGTGCCGAATCCCAGAATCGGGCTGTAATCATAGAAACAGAATGTTCCTCCTCTTCTTCCTCCCCTGCCAAGAGTTTCTGGGTGGTGAATGTCAGTAGCTGGAGTTATTTTTAAAGGCAAGAGGTGAGGCTTGTCGTGCAGAGCTGGAAAGAGGGCGTTTGTTTGCAGAGCCGAGCTGACATCAAAGTGCAGATCGCTGCCTACTGGCTAGCCACTGCTTTATGCCAGGTAATCTTTAACGTACCAGTCCGTCACTGCGATCTCACGAACCACCCTGCATGCGTGTATGAAATATGACCTGTATTTACGATCCAGAAGATTGCTGTTTTTTATTATTATTTCCATGAGCTGGACTTTGACATTTAGAGGTTCATACTAATCATCTTGCAAAACCTGCTCAGTGCTTTTAATAAGCAACTGCTTTCTACTTCTCTTCACAGGATAATATAAATGTTTTTCTGAAAGCGTGCGAAAATATCGGACTGAAGGAAGCTCAGCTCTTTCATCCAGGGGATCTTCAGGATTTGTCCAATCGAGTTACAGTCAAGTGAGTTTTCTGATTTTGTTTCTTATCTTCCCTCCTCTTCCTGAGCTGGTCATAAAGCTTGTCGAAAATATATTTCACAGTCCATCTTTTAAAAATGTTTGCCTATGGAAAATTCTTATTTTAGTCTAAGAGCTATTTTGAATACTGTGGTGAAGGCTTTAGCATTCTTAAAGAAGATAGATAAGATTTGCACGTATTTAACTTAGTGAAATTGTTAGTCTGCCATTTGTACCTCACACACTAGCAAATTAATTATTAATGAATATTTATAGCATTTAATAACGAAACAGAAGCTGTTCAGTGTTTTAAACAGAGTAAAATTAACTGTTAAATTATATAAAGAGCCTGACTTTCTTTTATGCTTAGAGATTATTGATGTAAAATCTGAAAGGCAAAGACGGTACTTTTGACACTTACCTGAATTGCTGTGAGGCTTGGGTATGGTGTTGCCGAAGGACCACCGTTCTCACCTCAGCGACCTTAGTCAGGCGCTTGTCACTGAATGTCACATCTCCTGTCAAGGTGTGTCTGAGTGGAAACTAAGTACAAGGAGTAATTGTCATGTTTACAGAGGACTGTTTTCCTGTGAAATTGAAGTGGTTTGGTTCTGGTACGTAATTAGTGGGTTGTCAAATGTCAGGACTGCCCAGTCCTAATATGAGTTTGTTACTAGTTTTTGAGAGATTCAGATGGAGCTTTAGTAGTAGACACTCCGTAGGGTTTCACGATAAAAGCCGTATGGAAAAGTATCTCCTTGGGGTCCTTCACTTTGTTACTGTGTTAGGTGTGTGGGTGCATAGGTGTGTTATTGTTCAGTCTCCAAAAAAGAAAGACTCAGTGGCTTGTGCTGAAAATCCATTGGGTTGAATGTTAAGAATTAATTTCCTGTCTTAAATTACCAGTTTAATAAAAGAGGCATGGGCAGTAACCCTTCTGTAAATACATGAGAAAACATTGTGAAATGGCATATAACTAGTTGGTTAATTGGAAAGAAATCGCCTGTAGGTGGATTGGATGATAGTATGTTGACATATTCTCTGCCTGGTTTCAGACTGAAAACTAATACGTTTTTGAGCTGAGAGTTGAGACAGAAATGCGTTTTCTAATATTTGACTCATACCTGAAACATAATTTCTTGCAAATGTGGTGTTTAGGATTTGGCACCCTTTCAGAAGGTTGGTATTTTTTACACTGGTTTGTATGTAATGCTGAACGCCAGCAGACCGGTAACTCTATCATGTTTAATTATTCACAAAACCCTTACTAAAGCCTTGTTTTAGTTGCGATTTACTCTAAGGAATACAGCAAAGCATGATTTGAAATTGTCAGGAGTTGGTGTTCAGCAGTGTAAATAATGACAAACTGAAACCCAAAGGAGGTCAGGGAGGTAGAGTGAGCAAACTGTTGTGCAAGTTATGTTGTCCGGCTTGCCCCTACGTTATCCGGAGTGCCTAAGTGAGGTCAGCTGTGAAATTCATCTAGTGAGTCTGATCCAAAACTACACCAGTTACTAGCAATTACCTTGTGGAAAGGTAAGAACAATTAACTGGATTTTTTTTTTTTTTTTTTTTTTTTTTTTTTTGGAGTCTTGCAGCTCCACTAGTTCCCTTCTTGGCTCCTGGAGCCAAGAAGAAGGCTGGAATTTGGATTTGTCAGAAGGCAGTGGGAGTATTATATCATATCTACCGGGTAATATCTGTGTTTTCCGAAAAGGAAGATTTAACTGTTGATCACTTCTTATTGACAACAGTACAGAAAGTCTGGGTTAGAGTGGGAAGAGCTGCTGGTGGTGTAGCCATGCTCTTCTAATTTGTTTTGATAAGTTCAAATTTCCATGTTATGTATCATATAGCAGTTCCCCGGTATGGTTAAAATGCTTATAGAGTAATTCAAAACTTCTGAATCTGACCACACTGTAAAGTGGTGATCTGACTGTGCTTAGCCCATTTTGACATGGTTAGGAGTTTGGGGAGGGACGGAGGAGGGGATGTTAATTTGTTCATTTTGGGGGAATAAAAGGTATACAAAGATAACTCCCCTTCAAAATGTTAATTATATGTCAGTGATTACATAGGGGGCGAACTAGTCTTCAGAGGGTTTCCAGAGAAAGTCATGTGTGTGTCAGGAGAGAAATGCTGTCTGAGCTTTCTGTCCTATTTTTTTTTCTTTTTTTATTTGGAATAAGTAACTAGGAATAAGTAACTTTATATATTCAAGCTGAATTGTACATTTCTTCAAAATTAGTAGGGTGCCAGGCATCAGGGCAGGCTTATGTTTCTTGTGTTGCTTATACATTATCCTCTGATAACCTTGTTGTCAGCATGAAAAGTAGATCATTTCTTGTCATGGAGAGGGAAAACTTTTCATATGTTGATTTTTTATAAAAGATTGTATTTCATTTTTTTTGGCGCTCTAACATTCCTAACCAAGTGTATTTTGCCACTATCACCTGAGGCCAGTTGCCCACATCTTAAATCAGCTGTGATAGGTTGCACAGGATAACACTGCCTGAGGGAGTATGCATTGCTGGAAACAGTACTAAACACACTGGTAGGCCACACACATGTACCAGCATAAGCCAATTCCTAGTTTGCATTTTATATGAAAATAAAGAGGAAAGTACTGCTAAAAGGGTGGGTCCACTTCCAGCGCTAAAAAAAATGAGAGTTGCCCTACTGTCAGCCTGAAAAGCATCTGTAACGCTACTGACCAGGAAGTTAAATCTCTGCCCCTGCTGCACTTGGCCTTTTGTTAATTTGTCTAGTTGCTTACTGAACCCTTTAACGCTTCTGGCACGCCAGGCATCCTGCAGTGAGAACTTACTTTTGCGCACAGTGCATAGTTAACTTAGTATTTCCTCTCTGCCTTCTCTATCTGCTGCCTGACGGTTACATTTGGCACCTCCTCGTTCTTGTATCACTGCACACCTTCAGGCTGCTCAGCACCCATCGGACCTCTGTCCTGTCCCACCTTGATAGTCTCCCTGCGTGGTAGGAAAAGTTATCTTCTCTTCGCGCTGTACCTGGTTTCTGACTGTGCTTGTTGCTCTGCAATGTACCCTTACTGATACGACCTTGTCTTCTGTGTCATCCAAAGTGTATGGTAATGGTGTCCAGGCTTTAAAAGTTTTTTTTTAAGAGTTTTTTGGTAAAGCTTTTACTTGCGTGTAATGTAATGTTCTTACAGCAGCAGAGCTAAGACCCACTGTTACTCAAGTCTTGCGAGAAACCGTACTAGGAAATAACAGCTATCAGTTTATCTTCCTTTTTGATAATGAAGTTGCAACTTTCACTTTTATTTTGTATTTTATTGCAATTGAGATTATGTACAGCTATAATGTGAAACCCTTTTCTATAATTACTATTTATATCTGGACAGGAGAGGTAAGAGACCTCTTAAATTTCCAGTATGTTGGCCTATCTCACTTCTAAGGGATTACGTGATTATCCTTTTAGCAAAGAAAAAGCTCCTTAAAATTTTGTTGTTTAGGAGTTTGTTTGAAGAGGGCAGGTTAGAAGTACTCATTGCTATTCAAAGCATTGCTAACCTCGTGCTTTCTGAGATCGCTGATGAGATTAGTAGTAGAATGAAGTGGAAAAATATACTGGCATGGACGATTTCGTTTCTGCCGGTGAAAATGAGAGTATAGATTAATGTTTGAAATTTATAGTTCAGTCTTTCAGCAAGTCTGCAGACGTTGCTACTCAATGGTGTAGTACAGCAATGCGTCATGTGTTCCAATAAAAAGTAGGCAGATGGAATTATTCCTCACGTACCACGTCCGGCAGTTACGTGCGTATCTTCTTGTTCCGTGGCTAGGTATTTGTGTGAACGCATGTGTGTACCTCTTCAATTCTTGCAGTAGATTTGATTTATTCCTTTTCCTTTAACCTAGGTAGTTGTTATTTTTAATCAAGGGAGATATTATTTTAAAATCCAGGAAGTCCTGTTTTGTTTTTTATGATAATCTAAGATTGTCTTAGCATTTCATTTGATTCTTTTCTAGATATATCAAAGAAAGACTGTAATATGAGCTTAGTGACTTTCAGTTGTCAGCACAGTTACTATTTTAAAATGCTGAGCGCTTCCTTACTCTTTAAAAGTGACACACCCAGTTGTTCCCAGCTATGGAAGGATTCTTAGTAAAATAATGAAAGTGACAGTTTGCAGAGACCGAATTTGTTATCCCCAGTATCTGTTTTAAAGGAAGCAAATTAAGCAATCAAGCTGACAGCATAACTGAGAGTTGTCGTCTTTTCCAAGCAAATTAATTCCTCCATCCGAATAAATTCGACTTCTGCAGAATGAGGTATCTACTTAAAGAACCTCACTACGTACTAATCATAAATCCAAACCAGTGTGGGTTAAGACAGGAGAACGTTGAAAAGGCACTAAGCCAAAAACTTAGGAAAGAATTAACTGTGTTAATTCTAAATGGCAAACACTTTTAAATGCTGTCACGAGCCTCTGAGCCCTGATGTGAACGTTACTATATCAATTTCATTCCTCGATAAAGTAACAAATTAAAATATACCATTTCTATTAAATTATTACTGTAAGGATACATTTAGAGTAGGTTTTGACTGAAATTCAAAAATTGTTGTCTCCTAAGATAGCTGGAAGTCTCTTTCCACCTTTCAGAAGATGATATTTAGGTAAGGCCTTCATCTTTTTGGTACTCTTTACTTCTTGACTTATTCATTACTAATCCTCTACGCTAAATGAAGTAGGGTATTAAGCAAACAGAAGACATTGTCAGAGAAGTCTCACCAAAGTGGAGTTAAGTGCAGAATGGGTTGAAATAACGGAGCTCTGACTTTACCCTTGACGTTTCTAACTTTTTGATAGTTTTTACCATTGATTTAATGTTCCTTAAGCACAATTGTTTTGCTTTAGGAAAGCCTATAAAATCAATCCTGAACAAACATGAATGCAATGCTCTCTGTAACATAAAGCTCAGAGCTTTAAAACTAGAGCTACCTAGACACAAGTAATGTCTG